AAGACCTACAATCTGTTGTTAAATGGGGCAAGGAGTGGCTTATTAATTTTAACGCCTCAAAAACGAAACTACTCTCTTTTAATTGTCTAGGAGAAGCCTTTTTACCTTACATCAGCATGGCTGATGCTAACCTCCAGGAGAGTGACTCATTTCCCCTTCCCGGACTAACATTTTCCGCTGATATTTATTGAAAAGATTATACTGAATCAATTGCTAAGTCTGCAGCTATGAAAGCTGGTTCACACTGTCGAGCTAGACAATTTTACTGGCCAGAATCTATCTATATTTATAAGTCCACCATTCGTCATTACTTTGAATATTGCTTCCACATCTGGTCTGGTGCTCCTGCTATATATTTATAGATTCCTTATAAAATCCAAAGAAGAATCTGCAATATTATTAGTCCTGACCTGGCATGTCGGCTTCAACCATTTTCACACCACCGTAACATATCTTCCCTGTGCCTTTTCTATAAATATTTTCATGGTAATTATTCTGATGAACTTTTCTCTATGATACCTAGACTTTATTAATTTAAGCGCAGTACTAGGTTGGCGGCAAGGTCCCAACAATTTAGATTTGAAATTGCTAGATGTAACCGTAAGTTCTATGCTAACATTTTTCTTCTATTGTACTTCTTGCTTGAGGAACTATCGTCTAGCTTCTTGCTTCCTTGTCAACTTTGATCATTAAAAATTTAAATGCAATGTAAATCATTATCTTTTTTCTTTTAATTCTTGTCCTTTTATTGTATTCTCTCTTTAATAGTATATTTTTCTCTAACACTCAGAAGTAACCCCATGATTCTTAGTGGCTTTATTGTCTTGCTTGGGGTGAGATGATTAAAAATAAAAAAGGAGAAAAGTCTAGGAAAACCACTTAGATCGATTCAGCACAGAGAAGGGTCCCAATTTCTGAGAGAATGGAATCCAGAAACTCTCTCGAAGATGGCGAAAAGTGCCAGAAGAAAATGGTAAATATGTCTGAATAACTCTAAATAATGTATTTGAAATTCACTTAAAAACGCTGTGAACGTTTGTTCTGATACAATATTATATGTTATTCCAGGTGTAGAAAGTTAATTATATGTCAGAGCGCATGTACACATTACACTACAAAGGGTGTTTCATTAAGACGGATCAAAGTCAGCAGTAAATAAATCAGTGTTATTAGTGAAAATTTATTTCTCTATTGGATCATGTTATTTAAGTCATGGCAATTATGTGTGAAAAATAATATCGCCCAAATGTCCGCCACGGCTTCGGCGGCACACCTCCGCTCGATAGTCAAAATTTTTGAGGGCGTCTCTGCATCGTTGCTCCTCGATCTCACCAATATGCCTTATTATCTCATCCTTCTGTTGTTGAATTGTTGTTGGCTGGCTGGCATAGACCTTACTTTTGAGATAACCCTCAAGGAAGAAATCTAAAAGCGTCAAGTCTTACGATCGTGGTGGCTAAATGACTTCGCTGTTTCGTGAGATGATTCTCATTGCATTTCTGTTTGAATGTCCATTTTCGTAATAGGCTTCGATAACTTTAACACGTTGTTTGATTATTAATCTTTCCATGGTTGACATTGCCAAAGACTTAAGTTGTTAAATCTGAAAGAAAAAGAGAAAAGTCATTAGACGCATAAACTTAATTCACATTTAAAATCGGTCCAAGTTATTGGAACACCCTTACAGACTGAGTCTGCATCATTTTTATTATGTTTACTTAGTAATTCCTAATGAATTAGCTTTGCTTCTGCGCAGCCATTGTAAATGCCTCTGTTTCTTTTTTCTTTTCTCCTTGAAATCTCCAGCTACTTATGAGTTGTTTAGTTTATCTACATCAGCACAATTACTTCTGAATGCGTATTGGTCACATAAGGGATTTTGTTCCTAGGTGTTGTTTTTTAATTGTTTACTTTAACTCTTTTGTGACTTTAAAATTTTTTTTTATGAATTTGTTATCTAACAATAATGTTTGGTTATTATTATTATTATTATTTTATTGCCTTTGATTTCGGTTGTATACTTATTTCTATTGCCTTCATTTGAAACTGTCCATCATTCTCTGTATTATAATGGTTGAAATTGCCAAAGACTTAAGTTGTTAAATCTGAAAGAAAAAAATCATTAGACGCTTAAACTTAATTCACATTTAAAATCGGTCTAAGTTATTGGAACACCCTGTATATTTTTGTATATTACGTTATATAATATTGCGCATGCGCAAATTACATTGTATATTAGTATGCATGTGTGCATTGTATATATTCGTGCGCATGATATGCTATATGCGCACTTCCATATGCAAACCTCAACAGCTTTCCCCAATATTCACTCCGACTGTGGAAGTAATGTGTTCCGTTATGTAAGATGCAGTTAAAATACACAATTCTTTTTAATTATTAATATCAGGTAAATTTAGTCGAGTCTGCCAAACATATACTCAATTTAGATATTTCAATAATTTGAGATGGAAGAACATTTATTTAGTAATTTTCCAAGTGTAGCTTAAATGTGGCACAAGACCGAAGTGTATGGGGCATCCAGTGAGATTCGTCGTAAATATTCTAGCGAGACAAACTTGCTAACCATTACACCACTTTGAGATTCCCAAGGGGGACATTTATTTAGTGGCGTGTTCAAATTTGCAAGGTCTGTTTGTGAGTGCATTTTAATATTGTGTTGCATACATAAGTTTTTCCGTTATTCTTTCTTTGAATATTATAGTAACGATATATTTGTGGTATGGAATTCGAATATAAACGGATATAACGGTAGAGCGTATTATATCGGTCTCTTTAAATAAAGGCATTTACACTTGAAATCGGATAAAACTCATGGAGCCTATTTAATAATTAAAATATTCTTCATTTTTTGTCTAATCTAAGCTTTGTCATTCTAATAAGTTTCACGCTTAAAAGGAGAAAAGAGGTTTATTCAGTAGCCATAAAAAGGTATGTATGCGAAAGGATACGCGAAGCAACATTAAAATTTAACAGAAATACCTTTACATGGGATCTGGAACTAATCCGAACTGATCTGAACTTTACCATGCCTTTAAATTTCACGCTTAAAAGAAGAAAGGTTAGTTCAGTAGCTCTAAAAGAGGGATGTATGCAAAATGACACGCGAAGAAATATTAAAATTCAACAGGAATACCTTCACACAGAATTTGAAACTAATCTGAACTTTCTCATGCCTTTAAGTTTCAAGCTTAAAAGAACAAGAAAAGTTTATTCAGTAGCCTTAAAAGATGTCTGTATGCAAAAGGACACGCGAAGCAACATTAAAATTAACCAGGAATACCTTTAGTATCTGTCTATATTTCTGAGATGAGGTATTACGTACACTACTTACATTGTTTGGACTAACATCCTCATCTTTGTTACCATATTTATCACAAAGTTTCGGCCGTTGTACGCTCAATGACACATGGCACAGTGGATAAAGGCGTTAGTTAGATCCAGTGACAGGACCCAAAAAGAGCGCGAGTTCAATACCTGGTTAAGGCAGTGGAGAACTTGGCGAGGGTAATTAACAGGAGATAACTGATAACTGTCATCCATTAAACATGGCACGTGGAACTAGAACAGTCCACCCCAGCGAGCGAAATAAATGGTTCAGTTCGACATTCCAACCACCTGAAGAAGGCCGGAGCGTACAACGGCCGAAACGTTGTGATAAATATGGCAAAAAAGATGAGGATGTTAGTCCGATGTAAATAGTGTAGGAATACCTTTACATGGGATCAGAAACTAATCTGAACTAATCTGAGTTATGTCATGCTTAGAAGTTTAATGCTAAAAAAAAAAAAAAAGGAAAAAAAAAATCTTTATGCAGTAGCCCTAGAAGACGTATGTATGCAAAAAGACACACGAAGGAACATTCAAATGCAGCAGGATTCCGTTGTAAATAGCTTAACAAATAATCGGATGTAGAGGACAGTCTTGCGTAGCTCTTCTTAGAAAGGAGGATTCAAGGTTGAATGGAAATCTCTAATGCGCCTAATTTCATTACATAAACGAATATGAATGCAAATAAACAGTAATTATTTAGAATTGAACAAGTCCACGTCAGTAATGAGAGTTAAAAACATGTGCCCCGAATAATTGTGAGTAACGGAAGTATTTGCTCGTGAATTAATGCTTCAATTAAAATGTCAGGAATCTGGTTTGAAGCTAAAGTTGTTTTAATCCATATATATATATATATATATATATATATATATATATATATATAATTATTTATTTAAAATATAATTCCATCGCTACATAAGAGTTCTCATGTTTCAAAACAAGAGCCGAAAACTTCAATATAATTATTTGAATTAAATTGAATTAAAGTACCAAGCTCTGTTCCATCTTCAAGCGAAATTCTTTTTGGAATAACTAATTCCGGAAATTTACGTTTTATAAGCATATTCATTATTAAAATTAAAATTACTATGTAACGATGGACTTCTGAGGAATACTGCTCTCTCCTTGGTGAAGTAGTTACGGGCAACTTAGAGCAGTGTGTCACTCAGGCAATGAATGACAGAAGGTCTGGATATATGATAACTCTTGCCAGGGTAAGGTTGGGGTGTCTAAATTCAAAGCGGTAGCCAACCTTACCCTGACTTGATCTCTTTGAATGTAACTGAGATATTGATACAAATTATTAACCCTTACGCCCTTTTTTTTTAAATAGCCGTTACCATAGTAATTTTAATTTTAATAATGAATATGCTTATAAAAGTTCTTTCCTATTTTCTATATATTTTTACACACACACACACACACACACACACACACACACACACACACACACACACACACATATATATATATATATATATATATATATATATATATATATATATACGGATATTGAAAATCGTTAAATTATTCCTGCCGATTCTTTTTATATCTATTCTATTTCATATCTATTTATAGATATCTCTTCATATATATCTATTTATTTTAGTCACTTCTATGTCTCTTCAAAGCTATCAATGTCTCCTAAGCTATGTATGTATGTATGTATGTATGTATGTATGTATGTATGTATGTATCTATCTATCTATCTCTCTATCTATCTATCTATCTTAGTATATTTAAATCTATCGTATTCAGAGCTATCTATTTATCTATCGGATCCAAATCTATCTATCTATCTATCTATCTATCTATCATAG